TCAGGCAGAAGAAACAAAACTGGACTGGGCTTGCGTGGCATCGCCTACATCGATTTGCACTTGTGCAGCACCTGGCTTTTCTGTCCAGGGCTGGACTCTCACACAATATTGAGATATGAGGAAAGGAAGGGGAAAAAGACAGAAGATACTGTTAGCACTATCTGCCTTGAGCCAAATCCTGGAGTCACTGGGGAGTTTTTCTTAATTAAGCACTATTTTCTTGTCAGCTCTGAGAGCCTCAGAAACAAAATTCTGTTCGAGTTACATGAGCCGATTTCTTAGACCTGCTAGTGACCAAATATGTAAAGTATTGTATGAAATTCCAGACTCAAGAAGATGATTGCCTGCAGCCACAGTCATCACATTTCATTCAATAAGTGAATCTTTACTGGGAACATTGAGCAAGGGAACACGTTGTACTTCTCAGCCGTAAGACACAACAGTTATTTCACACGGCGAGCGAGTCCTTTTACCGCTGTGCCCCGGGAAGGGATGCTGAAGCAAAATCACGACACACCCTGCATCAGAACACAACCAAAATCTAACTCGGTGTCTGCCTTGTCCCATGCTCCAGCCACTAACCCAGCAGTCTACGATGCAGAAATGAATGGGATGACTCAAACTGATATCTGGTGCCTGCATGTTAATCCTGTCCCTTAGTAACTGCCTTTATTAGTTTAACAGCCTAAAAATAACTGGCTGCACGATACTGACCAACCCTAATCAAAACATCTGCAAGCCCATCTAGCCCGAGCTACCCTGTAGATCACGTGCCACCACTTCAAAGCCTGTGCATCAAGTCAGTAATTGTAACACTGCATCTAAATATTTAAGCTAGGGGCTGGTAGTCGCGTGTCCCATTTACAGTCAGCATCTGTCCTCTAATTCCATTACAGTACAAAGCAAAAATGTTTCCCAAAACTCACAAACAGGAAAAGCATCACACAGCTAGAGAAGCAGCAGCAGCTTGAACTTTCTAGCTGCTGAGCAGGGCTTTTGTGCTAAGGTCCCTTTTTTTCCCCCCTTCAAACTCCCCACATACACACACAAAAATAGGGGTGGTGCCGAAATTGTATTAATGTGAGCCTCAGGCACACAGAAAAAAAGAAAAGAGGAAGGGGAGGGAGAGGGGGGAAGGGTTTGGTCCGAGATGAAAGTAAGAAGGAAATAAAGGAGGCAATTTAGTCTGCTGTAGCCTGAATTGCTCTCAGTACAGCCAAGGGTAGAGGCTTGGGATGAGTAGGGCTCTTTTTGGACGGGTGCGCATGACTGGGGGAGGATCCGCCGGGACAGGGCCTGGGGGCCAATTCCGCCGGCCGGGAACAGAGGCCCCCTTTGAGGCTGGGCGGGGGGGTCCCGGCCCCCGGCCCAGCCCCCGGCCCCGGCCCCAGCCCCAGCCCCAGCCCCAGCCAGCGCCGCCCGCTCGCAGTGGGCCCAAGGACCAGCTCTACGCCCCATCGTTTGAGTGCTGAAAGCCACCCGTTTCTGCCAGAAAACAACAGCTATCTTATGAAGGGGGGAGTTATCAGATTAGTCAGCAAACCATGCCGCACATAACTCCGCTAAAGGTACAAGCGACTCCCTCTTCTGTGGCGGTTATGCTAAAAATATGCCCTGATGTGCCATATAAAGGCACAAAAGTTTCTCTCTCGTGTTCTTTATTTATGGCTTATGCCTTTAAGAAAAATGTAGCTCGCATGCAGAAATACAGATATGCTATTATAGAACTATAAGCTTCCTGATACACACTGTGACAATCAAGGTTTTCTTTAAATATATATCCAAAACCGGGGTAGAGGTGACACTGACAGACATGCCGAAATACAGCAAAGTGGGCTGCACGTGTGGCGTCTGTAAACGCCGGGAAGAGAATCATATTTAAGTGCCCGTGAACAGAGACTGAAACAGAATCACAGCAGGGCATATGAAAGTTTACCTACGCCTATATATGTGATGGGAGAAATCCCAAGCCACATAATACACTGTTTCTATCGCACATTTTTCAAAAATATCAAGTTTCTCTTCTCTCTAATCCCACTCTGCTGTAAGTACTCCCCAAATCCCAAATCTTGAATTAGCTACCATTAAAATTACAATTGTTATCCTTGCCCTCAGAAAAAAATGCCTCTCACAGAGTTACCCAAACGCTCACAGTGAGGAGGGGGATTTCAGGCAACAGAAGAAAATGTCCAGTACTAGGCATGTGCTGCCAAGTAGGAGAGTGATTCCCTGCTCCGTGCTCAGCCCCAGGATTTGTGTTCTGACCTATCCCACAGCCTTCCCTTACAGCACCCACGCTCCTGCTGCTGGGATACCTCGAGCCGAGACCAGAGCTATATCAATTACTCATACTGCAAAAGACTCTGCACTTTTTTCACTCCATAACGTGGAGCACTCCCATGGAGAACACTCAGCGGTGAGCTACAATGTGAAGGTTTTGCTGCGCACTGCAGGGATAATCCTTCGGACATACTGCAAGCAACCTAAGTGCCGGAGAGGGCACCCTCTGCGGCACCGGGCATCGCAGCCAGGCTGGTGGGCACTGGCAAATACGATCCTGCAGCATCAAAATCCTCAGGAGTGCTGCCAGTTTATTTCAGTAAGAGAGAAGGATCTGACCTGATGATTTTTATAGATGGAGTGAAATTGAAGCTCCTCTGCTGGCAATGGGAGTTGAAGCAGAACCTTTTTTGTTGGCCAGATACAGAAAGTAGTGGTGGACTTATTTCAGGGTTATTTTTGTCTTGTAATGGGCTCACTGGTGTGTTGTCCCTATAGTATCACACTATACGTAAGGCATGTGTGTGGTAACAAGTCCTTTCTTGAGCAGCAGCTCTCTCACACTGCAGCATCCCGGCCACTCCAGTAATAAGATTAAGCAACAGCTTGCCAGTCAGGGAGGGGGAGCAGGCGTTGCTGCGGGGAAGAGCACGCTCTCCCTCCAACTGCCAAACCTTCCCAGGCGCTGTCACAGAACAGAGGGATTATCAAACTGCCGTTTGCACAGAACTGCCCAGCCACGTTCATCCAGCAAAAATCTGCGTGCGCAAGGACAGGATAGGGCTGCGCTACCCCATTTAGTCAAGGGGAATTTTGCCACCGATTGAACTCGAAAGAAGCAAAGTAGGACACTCGTGTCTGCAGAAAGTGAAGGAGAGGGTACGTCAGAGGGCAGAAGGCAGCCTCCTCGTATGACCGTGCTGTGGGGCATGAGCGAGCCCCCGTTCGCAGGAAGGCACCGCCAGCCCCAGTGCTTTTCCTGCAAAAGTCTTGGGGCTTGCCCGGGCTGGAAGGTGGCAGCTGTGCACCCAGGCACTGATCTATGGTAGATCAGGAGCCCCGCTTTAAAGAGCAGAAAGTCAAAGAAAGGAAGACTGCTTCAAAGAGAAGTAGAGGGGTGGGTTATATTGATAATAATATTTTTTCTCTTGCTGTCTCTATGAATTACTCTTGGTTCCATAAAGCAGGTCTATTGTCAAGGCTTTCTATCTTCTGTTTCTAATCTCTGCTGAGAAATTCAGGAAGGCAGAAAAGCTAGTTATTTTAACAACTAGGGCACTGAGTTTAGCTATTTTTCCCTTGGTGCATGTCCCTCTCAGAACAATCCTCTGTTGAAGGAGATACTGGAGGAAACTCTGGACATAGGGGCAGCTAGAATGGGCAATCAAACTGTGCCTTCTGGCCTTAAAATCTCTTAACTCACTAGCATCTTCTGCATGTTTGTATTGCACACATCCATGCAAACACAGACACACAGAAGATGAGGCTTCCCTGAAAGCTTTAATAACAGTTAAAAACTAAGTTTCGGGAGTGTTTCTGGGTTTGTTCCTACACAACAAGGAGATATCCTACTGTTAAAGAACAGGTTTGAGTTGTCCTTCTTGAATGGCACTCAGCATCTCTAGATGTCTAGAAACGCTAGAAACATTTTTTAGGTAAAAACAGCTACTTTATCCACGGTGGAGAGTCCATAAAACTGCGTGGACCATCAGCTATTAGGGGCTCATTGAATAATTCATCCCTCATTGCAAGCCCATAATGTCTTTTCTCAGCCTTTTGTGGGGCTGTTTTCTCTTCCTTTCTCCTTGAATTATAAAAAGGTTGCCTTCTTTTGTTCACATCAAGCTGCTGCTAGCTGAAGCTTTGTCTGAGCAAAGCCAAAGTGTGAGTTTCAATGGACTCCCCCCTCTTTGTTTTCCAAGTTCATCTCCAAGTGTAGATTGTGTATAGAAGGCCTTCTTTGTAAAAGCTGGAAAAGTTGTACAAATGTTTGACCAGCTCATTTGGTACTTTTGTCTCGCCTTCTCGGGTGCCTGTGCATGTGCTGGGCAGCCACTTCCACGCACAGGCCGCCCAGCCCGGCCCTTGCCTGCCCCTCCGCTCCGGCCCAGCCGGGGAGCAGGGCACAACCGCAGCGGGGGCAGCAGCTGTCCCCCCCCCCGAGCAGCCCTTCGCCTCCGCCTTGTTCAGGTTGCAACCTCCCCACAGCCCCTGGCCAACCACCAACACAAGCTTTTCCCAGCAGCTTCAAGAGGAGAAGAAATGAAATGTGCGGCTCCCTGCCCTGCCCACGGCTGCAGACACTCAAGGCTCCGCAGCCTGTGGCTACAACCGCCCCTTCTGTGCAGCTGCGGCATTTTGGTCGGCTTGGGCTGGGAAAGCGGCCCCTGCGCAGCCATGCCAGGGGCTGCGCGGCCAGCTCCAGACCTCCCTGCTCCCTGGCCCCCATCCCTGCTATTGAAAGCCAAACCAGTGGCGACCCACATCTTCACCCCCAAGTCCGCGCCATTCCCACACACTGCAGGGTCGTCCCAGTGGGGGAACCGGACAGGGTGAGACGTGGCAGCCGCCCCGTTGGGGCTAGCTCCTCACCCTACACCTCCCTCTGCACTGGCCCCAGGATGACCTCCGGGAGAAGGGGAGTGATACCCACCAGCACCCGGGGCTGGCACTGGCCTGTCCCAGGGCTCCACCGAGCGTGGGGGGAAATGGGACTTTACCTCTTTCACTGAGGATGCCGTCAATGCTGTGCTTGGCCTTCTTGTCGCCTTCCTCCACCTCCTTCCTTTCCAGCTCGGCCTCCTCTTCCTCGCCTTTCCCAAACTTGCTCCGCAGGATGCGGCTGATGGAGCTTACTTCGGGGGGAGCGCAGAGCTGTGACCAGGCTTGTCCCCAGCAGCCCCCCGAGGTGGCCGGGCCGGGCCGGGGAGCAGAGCCCCGCATCAGTGCCGCTGCTTCATGTCCCCCCTCCCCGGCTGCTACCAGTCGCGGCTTTCGGGGGGGCGGCCGCCCGCTTGCCCCCCCCGCGGGGGTTTCCACGGGGCACCGTCCCGCACCGCGCTTCAGCGCCGGCACAGCGGCCCCGCAGGTATATTTTTGCCCGATTCCGGGCAGCGGATGATGAGAAAAGCCCACGGACACCCGCACAAGTATCGCGCCGGCTCCGTGTGCTCCCCCCCCCGCAAACAACCCACCGGCACAGGGAGCTGCTCCCCGTCTCCCCCTTCCCAGCCCCGGGTCTCCGGCAAGCCCCGAGCCCTCCTGCGGCAGCGGCCCGGCGGGGACGGTGGGGAAGCGGGGGGGAGGAGGAGGGGAGGGGGATGCAGTTGCTATTTAATTGAAAACACCCCCGCCGAGCGCAGGAATCCTCCCGGGACGCCTCTGCCGGTACCAGTGTGCTAACGCCGACCGCTTCACGGGCACCAGCCCGGCCCGGGGCTCCGCTCCCGCCGGCTACGGGGCTCGCCCCGGGTATCGCGCTGCCCTCCCCGTTCCGCCCCCGGCCCTGGCCCTCCGGGACGTGTCCGAGCCGCCCCCGGGCGCCCCGTACCTGACGGCACCGTGTTGCGGTCACACACCCCGTCCTTCAGCAGCTTGTCCCGGATCTCCCAGCTGAACATGCCCGCGTTTTCCCGCTTGTATTCTTCGATTTTCTTCTCAACGTCCGGCGTCGTCACCTGCTTCAGTAAAGACAAGGCGAGCGGGCACAGTCTGCAGGGCCGGGCGCGGCCGCGGGAGCCCGGGCTGCCGCCGCCGGGACCC